CTACTCTTTGAGGGTAACTACCTGAACTGTTGGAATTGTTCAAACTCAACCCTGACTATGGAGAGATCTGCACTTCATCTTTAAGTGTTTTTCAAAGAACAAATGTAGTCTTGCACACCTGATTAACACCAGAGTTCAAAATGTTGTGCAGGGCTCACCCTTTACCATTCATCTTAAGTGCAAGTGCACTGACATTTTCTGTTCAAAGCAAATGTATTTTTCTATATATATGAAATGCATCTGTTAACAGTAGTGATATTACAAAAGGTAACAAAGTCATAATTCAGATGAGCATATTCTATAAAACTGGATGGCATGTTCTCTCTTTTCCTGTGTGGGTTCTCTCCGGGTACTCTGGCTTCCTCCCACAGTCCAAAGACATGCAGCTTAGGTTGATTGGAAACTAAATTGCACGCACGAGTGAGTGTGAGTATGTGTGGTTATCTGTCTTTAAGTGTCAGCCCTGTGACAGACTGGCAAACTGTCCAGAGTGTACCCCGCCGCTCACCCAGTGTCAGCTGGGATTGGCCCCCCACAACCCTATTCAGGAATAAGTGGTATACATAATGGATGGATGGATGTTCTATAAAACTTCCCTAAACATGAATTAACACACCACCAATCCCTACTCACAGACTCACTCAGAAATAGACCTGTCATCTTGCCACCATCTCCTTATCGTCTAACCACTAACAAGCCTATTTGCCTGTGACTGACGTTGATGTGATCCCTAAAGCCCCATGCTTGGCACCAGATTGCTCCTAAGCCAAATTAAGCTTCTGTCATGCCCACCCCCACCTCCAGCCAAGTGCTACCCCTGCCATGGGAACCATAAATTTTTAATGACGATGGAGAGCTCTGCGCGCTCCCACGACACAAAAGCAATGACATCTGTCTCTGCAAAGTGCTGCACTCTAGAGCTATCCTATTTGTTCTATCTCCGCTTCTTGAAAAGAAAAGAAATATAAAAGTAATGGGAGAGTGGATACTTTTTAAAGAGGAAGAAGGAGGTGGAGCTAAGGAAGTAAAAGATCCTTTTTTTTCAAATAAGTTTTGTTCCCCTTCAAATAAGGTGTTAAAAGAGCCTCAGTCTCATCTTCTTACTATGTACGGTCTGCCTGCTCTCAGCTATTTCTAAGTCAGCTCCTCAAAATGAAGGAGAACACTTTTCAAAGTGATTAATTTACCAGCAATAGACCATCTGACTTTTGGCCAAAACAATTCCCCAGTACAACTAACCTAAGTAAAACAATTTCTTATGAAATACCATAAAATGATAAATCTGACACTGATACACTATAGCAAAGCAAATGAAGAAAACATTTGTTTAATTATACTGCTTCAAAGAGCTGAAACAAGCCTGCCTACAGAAGATGTATTGTAGGACTTGCTCCACCTCTGAGCCCCTTAAGATCAGGTTAAAACATTTATGTGTCTACTTTGACCCAAGCATCATTACCCATCATGCACTTGCAGCATGCAGTCTCCTTTATTTATTTCTCTGCATTCATCTCATAACTTCCTGAACTGCAATTAACAGTAATGCACTATCAATTAAATCCCATCTCATTTTCTATCCCGCTGTGTCCCGAAAAGGGGTCGCGGGGGGGCTGGAGCCAATCCCAGCCGGCATCGGGTGAAAGGCGGGGTACACCCTGGAAAGGTGGCCGCCATCGCAGGGCCAACACGCAGGCGAACAACCACACACACACACACACACACACACACACATTCACTCCTACTCCTACTCCTAATCAATTAATTATTTTTTCAATTAATTAAAGAGTCTATGGAAACAAACATTGGAGAAATAGGCTACAGCAAGTCCTGACTTAGGAGAAACTTTAAATTTTTGATATTTTGTTCTTAAAAGTTACCCGCATTTTTGTTAATGTTCACTTGATTTATAGCTTAAACAAACCAACGAACGCCGGAAAAAAAACATTGTAGCACTTTGAAGAACCTGAGCATTGCGAACAGGCATTATGATAGTCACCTATGACTCTGGGTCCTTCATGTGAATGACGAAAGATGGCGGTGTCCGTGTTGTGCGGGAGGACAGTAGCGTTGTGCAGGACTTTGAAGGGATTTTCATCTTCAAAAACTGTACTTTCTGCGAAATTACAACGTGTACATCTATTACAGACAGCGTCGTATAACCCAAGACATCTAAAGCTAAACCTCCGTTCGGCGTATATACCGGACAAAGACTGTGAGAAGACACCGGAGTGGCAGAAGACGGCCCGGTACGACAGGAAACTGTTCGGTCGGTACGGCTCAGCGTCGGGCATCGACCCTGCCTCGCTATGGCCCAGCCACGAGCAGCTGGACAACATCATTACAGAGGAAAACGAGTGGCACCCCCCGCTAGAAGTAATGCTGAAGAACATAAAGGCCAAAGAGAAGGAGGAAACAGAGAAGCGGCTGGCAAAGTAAGTGATGCTAACGTTAGTGCGTCAATTATCGGACAGCTAACCTATCGCCCGTTCTGTTTCCGCTATTATTTTATTTGTGTTTTCCTCCTAGACTCACACGTTTATGCTGCAGTTCACTACATGTTAAGACACTCACTGACGTAATACCTAACATATCCCCACTTAACCCGTGAATGGCAACCCTCAATGCAATTTTTTTGCAAATATAACTTTGTATATGTATCGATCTGGAATACTCCACCTGTGTATATATTTCTGTATTTTTAAGAACTTTATTTTATATTTTCCCAGTACACTCATTTTTCTTATTTGCACATTATTTTTCCTTTCTTGTTCTCTCAGTCCTTTTTACTCGTTGGCTTACGGAAGAGCATTGTACATGCACATTGAGCCACAATACCATTCAGATTCATCTGTGTCCAGCACATCTGGCCAATAAAGCTGATTCTGATTCCGATTGTGTGATAACATTGCATTTGAGCTAGAGCTAAGCTTAAGTACTCCTGAAAATAAGTAGCAAACACCAAAGTAGTTCTGAAAGTATTTCCAGACTCAAAGACCTTCTAACCATCTGGATAAAAAAGGAACAGATTTAAAGATTATATACTGCAAAAGATAAACAATATAACGTTAGTCACCCGATCTTAAGTTTAAACAAGTTAATACGAAATGGAAGCATTGTTCATAATTTTATTGCAAACTAATGACAAGATTATTGGATATATTAACACATTTTCTAATGCGTGTAATGTGACAGATGGCTGTCATTACTTTCTTGTAATTAAAGTGGGGAGAAATGCTTCAGTCAGATACTGAAAATATTCGGTGGGGTGCTAATATGCTCAGGTTTAATAGGTAAAGTGATATTGTTCCCCATCTTAGTTAAGTAGGTCTTGCTTGGCCCTGAGGTTCGAACCTGGCACCTGTTTGCTGTCAGGCCACAGTGCCACCCGCATCAAAACTGTTGCACTAATTTTTTTTTTTTCCATTTCTGTTGCAGAGAAAAACTCATAGCAGCAAATATGACCAAAATGCCCCAGATGATAGCTGACTGGCGCAAACAAAAGCGTGAAGCCAAGGAAAAGCTAAAGGAGGAGAAAGCTCG